TTAACGTAAGGTTTGTAGATTAATACTAAAATATTTTTCACGAAAAAATCTAAATTTTTTGTAAACCGTTCTTGTTAGAGAATGATGCAAATTTGAAGATTGCCTGAATTACCTTCCTAATGCTACCGATTTTTCATATTTTCAATACACTATAAAATTTCAATAGATGAAAAAATTAATTCTGGTACCAGGTAATATTAAAATTAATGAGCGCTTTCTGGGAGAGTCGATTTCTTTCGTTTGCCGACCACTCATCCGACCTTGCCACTTTTAAGCTAACAGTATCGAATGCGAAAGTCTAGTCAAGATCACTTTCCCAAAGACTGCTAATATTATGGGCTGGTTCTATAATAAAAGTGAAGTGGAGTACACGGTTCGCCTAGAGAAGCCAGTGGATAAGGGGAAGAGAAGAGGAGCAAAAGACGAGGAAGGGGATTGTGAAGGGGAGTTCGAGAAATAGAGAATGCGGTCAATGGAAAAAAAAGGAAACGGGGGACTCCTTACACCTTCTATAGCATTACGAAAAGCGCTCTGAAATAAGCGAATAAAAGTTGCGAGAGATTTCATGTTTCAAATAAGTTTGACAGGCCCCCAATGTAATGCAAGAACCTTAAATTCGTTTTGCGTCCCGTCAACCGCGTCTTTCGCACAGAATACTTACGCATCTCCATGACCTTGCTACACTTCACGTTACGTTATCACACAACCACTCTGATTTGGACTAGGTCTTAGAACACTCCCACACGGTACACTTGAACCCTATATCGATCAATCGATCACGTTTTAAATCCAATTAGAACAGAATCCAACCGAAATATCCTCGGCACCACAAATTAACATTTACCCTCATCCTTGTAATACAAATACTACCAAAAACAAATTTTATTTTATACAAATTTATACAAACACCATTTTAAAAGCTAAGCCAACCTGCACAAGAAATCGAATTAAACTGCGAAATTATCGCTATGCAACTGTTGCTTCAACTAATGGCGCTCCGTCAAGGTACAAGGACGTGAAATCGCAAGTCACGAAGCATTAAAATTTTAGTAGTCTAACTTTCAAGATTCATTTACGTCTTTTAATATTTGATATTTTATTCAATTTTCAATTTAACTCGATGCAACTCTGGATTAAACCGTGAAGTACATAAAAAACCAGATGCGCTTACCTTTTTCGCCTTCCGGGAACTACTCCGCGAACTACACAACCCATAATCCCACGTTCACCACTTACATCTTCTCGTCAAATGAAACGCTAAAAGCAGCCTGTGGGCTCACGGAAGCCGTTCTCGACACGTGATTGGCTACAGATTGGTAGTGTGAATTCATTTGGAACTATTAGAAAGAAGCATAAAATAAACGTCGAATGAGAAAATTAGAATACCTCTTATTGCTAAATATAATTTAACATACCACACATTTTAGAACAATATATTTAATCAATATATTTAAAAAATGTAGTAAGATAAACATCTACTTCCGGAAGCGCATGAAATGTTTATTGTGTCACAAATACTATATAAGTATGTCTTCAATAAACATTTGCCCATCGGATCTTCAACAAATGAATGTTATGAATTAAGAAATAATCAAATCACAACAATTCAATGTTGTAATATTCATTTAAAAAACATTAGTACTCGACGTCAATTTTCGATAGCACTTTTTCCTAGCAATAAATTTTCTTAAGTTATTTTCTCTCATTCCTTTTTGATAAAAATATGTCTTATATTTCATGTTGTCGTTGTTTTTATATATTTCATTTTTGTCGCTGTTTCAGCCGAAATCTTGTGGTAATTCATAATACAGGCGCACGAAAGAGATAATCAGACCACAATGCGTAAGAATATAGTGAATTTAACAGATTATACTCTAATAAATACAATACCAGACTAGTTTTGAGAAACTTTACCCATCTTCAGTGGTACAAGCAACATTATTACCAAAACATATCTAAAACGTTAACAAAAAAACATTTAGTACAATGAATATTTAAAAAAATTAACTTATTGATTTTAGTGAAAATAATAATCAGGGTACGTGGTCATGTGTGTACAGATAGAGGTTGTCAACATTCAACAACTGCATTAAATAGAGAAGCCTTTTTTCTAGTTAATCTGGGGTGGGGGTGGGAGGGACAGGAAGTAAATAAATTAATGAGTATGCTGCATTTTACATCTGTTTGTTAATTTATGTGTGTCATAGAACAATTTTTTAGTAATTTTGTAAAATCTAACTTTTCTAAAGTATTTAATATAGATCCTTTATTTTGAATGTGTGAAATTTAAACATTTTGTTTGGGTCAAAAAGTGGTTATATTCAATAAGATGAGAGGCAAATGTGGAATTTCAATGGTTTTGTTTCCAATCTCTAATGTGTTCATTGACTCTATGAATAAATTTTCTTCGAGGCTGGACCACTTAAGCTGCATTACAATCATTACAATTTATATTAGAAAACATACACTCATTTTTATCTTGATTTTTATAGAATCTTTGTTTCGAGAAAGTAATGGTGATAATTTCTTATTGGTTTTGTAACAGATTAAAATATCAAATTTTTGGAGATGTTGACCTATACGTTAGGACATATTACCAATAAAGGGGAAACAAATGAAGCATTTTTATGTTTTCTTCAGAAAATCTATATTATTTTCTTTAGATGAAATAAGTTTGTCTATTAATTTTGAATTGTGTCCATTATTACTGGCTAAAGTTTTCATGATAGTGATTACTTTGTAAAATTCATTTTGTGACATGCGGACCATGAACAATCTATGAATGCAAAAGTGAAATGCAGCAAGTTTGGGTTTTAAAGTGTGATTGGAATCTGAAGGGTTGACCAAGTCAGTTTGAGTGGGTTTTCTGAAAATGTTTAATTCATGTTTATTGTTTTGTACTCCTATGGCCAAGTCCAAACACTTAATGGTTTGGTCGATTCCCATTTCTATTTTAAATTGAATTATTGAATGTAATGAAATCATAAATTCATGAAATTAGTTTATTTGCCTTAAGGTACCTTCCCATAAGCAAATGATATCGACATATCTCTAATAATAAATAATATTCTTTATATGAGGGTTAGCATTATCAAATAGAACAGATTCAAAATAAACAGCTCCGCAAAGATGGGATAGATTTGAACCCAACGCAAGACCTTCGCTTTGGTTGTAAAATTCGTCATTGAATTTAAAAAAAAAGTTATATTCAATGCAGACATCAAGAAGTTTTATTAGTTCTGATTTTTATTGTATTGCATATTAGAATTCATAATTAATTTAATGTATAACTCTTGCTCCTCAAGAGGAGGAATGCTTGTAAATAAATTATTTTCATCAAAAGAAACTATTTTAAAGTTCAAAGGAACATGAATATCTTTAATTTTGTCAATGAGATCAAAAGAATTTGTAAGTTTACATTTTCGTTGAAATTAGTCTACTTGGTAATTAATGGAATAATAAATTTGGAAAGTGTATAAATGCTAGAATTAATATAACCAACAACTGGTCTGATAGGTAGGCTTTGTTTACATAGTTTTATCAACCCATACATTTTAGGACATAGTGGGATCATAACCAGGAGGGATTTAAGTTTGTAATTGTTTATTAAATTACTAGATAAAAGAGTGTTTCTAATTATTCAATTGTATGAAAGGGTGAGGTCCTTTTTAATGTTCAAAAACACTTTCATCTCTAAGAATGATTCTACTTTATCGATATAGTCATTCTGGTTTAAGATAACTGTTGTATCTGTTGTACTGTTGTATCTGCTTTACTAATGGTTAACTTGTTATCTTTTACTTTCTTCACTAAGTTTTAAATAGTTTTGTTGAAATTACCATTACGGCTTCAATCAATTTGGAATGAACTATCTTTAGTTTGTGAGATGAGACCTTCAGAACTTACTGCTAAATTGGCTCTATGTGAAGAAACTCCCATGAGTGGCTTAAGCGCTAGCATTGTTCTCAGACGGAGGCACGGAGGTATTGAAAAGAAGCACTTTTTTCCGTATCAAGGGACTCCAAAACATATATTTCCATTATAATCACGAAATCGATTTTCTGCTGTATTACATACCTTTCTCTTCTACAACGTACAACACTCACACACACACACACACACACACACACAACACACACACACACACACATCATATATATATATATATATTATATATATATATATATATATACTATATATTATAAAAAACCGCATTCAAGACATTTATCCACTTCGGTATCATGGACTTATTATACCATTTTTTCTGCCAAAACCTCGCCGAAAAAAACGCTTCAGCATTACATAATTTTCTCCATACTATGTATGCAGTATGCGAGAAAGTAAAACGGTTCTAGGCTGTAACGGGAGGGTTATTTCGTCACATCCCCGTTGCGGGACCTTGCTTCGCGGGGCGTGTGCCGGCTGCTCCTCGGGAGGGCCTCGGAGGCCACGGGTGATTAGGGGCTTTGCGGCGCTGCGCGTTTATGGCCTGGAGCGGGAGCGGCGCCGTCCCTTGGGGTTCGAACACGCTCCACCAGGATCGGTGCTCTCTGCCCCGGCACGTACACGAGATTGCGGTCGCTTCATTCCCGTCAGGACTACTACGTGACACCCATGCTTTCTTCAATTTGTCTAAATGTCTGATGTATGAACAACAGTCGTTGTTGTAATGAAGTAATGAATTGTGTTTTTTTTACTTAAGTTTAAGTTTCTACTTGTTTCAGTGGGGTTTTTAAATTATTTCCCTCTGATGTATTTGTTCCGTTGTGCGGAAGAAAAATAACTGGACAACGACACACTCTATCTACCGGTTTAAATAGTCTTTATATTATGACATTTTTAACTTTCATGTTTGGCAAACGAAACTCATTTAAGAGTACTAAACAGCGGATGTTTGTAAATAACAAAAAGAATGTTCTAACGTATGTATCTAACCCCAGATATTCGCGTCTATTTGTTGTCGAAGGCGGTGTTTATTCAGTTCTGGCTTGTTGAATCACTATGCCGCGCACAACACACAGAGGCATCCGCAGTAGATGAGCAATCGTGCCTGTGTAGAGAGGCGAGCGCTCCCGGCCCGCGTGGCGGCATCGGTTAGCTTGCGCCGACACGCCGTGCGTGCGTTTTATTCCTCTCACAGCCGCGCACGACGAGGGATGAGGCAAGGGGAGAGGGGAGGGGTGGCAGAGCGCGCGCCAGCGGACGGCGACGCGTGCCAGCGGCCCAGCCTCGCACCCCGCCGCTCCTTGCTGCCTCACGCCGTAGGTATCTCGAACACGCTGCAGTCGTTTAGCCACTACCTCGCCGACATCTCTTTACTCTCTTCCATCCCTAATAATCGTTTGCTTCCTTCTCCTCCCATTAATCGTCATTTTATCTGTACTGTCTACCCTGTCATAATAATCCCGAACGGCTGAGATTACCTCAGAGGCAGTATTGCCACTGTATCTGCAGCGACTCTGATCATGAGGTCCTTGCGTTTGCTCGCGAAAATTTTCGTCCCTTGGATTTTCTAAAATAGCGACAAAGCTAGGTTGAATTTAGCCTCTGTCTGGAGGAAAAATCTATCATCCAGTTGCCCTAATCTGTAATTTTCCGTGGTTTCTCCAAACAATACCGGGTAAATGTCGGAGCAGTACCATAACAAACGGTCATGGGATTGCGTGCGATCTCTCATTCCTCTTCCTTACTTACACACACTTACCTTCACACTACACTACTTCACATGTCGAGAGATCAGTTCCAACCTAAGAGCTTGTACTGGTTGGTTCAGTGCTCCGCTGGGTGAGATACTTGAAAGTCGACGAAAGCCTTAATCCTGCAAGCCGACGGGTAGGTTATCACCGGATGTCACCATCCAACTAGGGAAGAACACCGCCACCTCCGGACATAAAAGAACATTAACTACACTAACGGGACTAGTTGACGTTTAAAGACAGTTTTCAGGGTTGATTTACGAGATCATTTGTACGTTGCTCCAATATCGATACTGAACAGAATATTGTAAGAATTGCAAATTATACCTATGATTCGAATATGAATTAAATCATCAAACTGATGTAAAAGAACAAATCATAAATACCGAATTTCAAAGGGCCCGCGTTGTTTACTTTCCTCACGCTTTTAATTAAACACACAATAACCAAAAGTTTAATCACAGAATTATGCCTGTAAATAATATTTCATAAGAAGGGCTGTGAATGTGTATTTTTCTTGTATTTTCATTGCTACATAAATACATTAATTTCATGAGAAAATCCCTTTGGCGGAAAGACAAGTATAATTGAGAGTAACATGGAATAAGCACAAGTCATTTGTGAAATAAATGTGAATAATTTTTACGGGTTTATCACCGACCACGTTCCATAAATTTGGTGTCGCATCAATGAGTGTGAAATAAATCTCTCACAAGACTGAACAGCAAATACGAGTAGAGCCTCTTCTCGCATACATCAGCCGTACTGCTATTTGCATGTACATTTCGCCTTTTACCTCTGCGAGCGTTACCTCTAAGCATTTGTCGATCCCATCTTCACCACTTGCAAACACGTGAGCCGCCGTCTGTGCCAAAGCAGGCAACTCATTCCTGTACTCAGCCCTCTCTTCACTTCCATAACCGCTGCCACCTCACGCTCTCACGCGCTGGCTTTCACTGTTCGCGCTGGCCCTCCCCTCCGCGTCCGGCACGTCGCTCCGGGCGCCCGCGCCCACGCCCACGCCCGCAGCTCGCTGCCTCCCACGCCCCCGCACCCCCGGGCCGGCCGCTGCAGCTGCACCTCGCACCCTTGCACTACTGTGTCTGTCTCTACCTCTCACACCTCGAACGCTGCTATTGCCTCTCACACCAATACGTCTTCTACCTCTCCCTCCAGCACTGCCGTTGCCTCTCACAACAACACTTTTGTTGTCACTTCCTCTAATACTGCCATCGCCTCTCACACCAGCACTTGTACTACCTTTCCCTCTAACATTGCAAATGCCGTCCTCGCTGTCAGCCTCTGTCTGTATGTCTGTCTGTCTGTCTGTCTCTCTCTCTCTCTCTTTACTTCTGTCTCCACAGCCTCCTCTATTTCTACCATTACCTATGACTCTACCTCTATCTCCAAATTTATTACATATTTACCTCTTCTCTCGCTACATGTGCCTCTACCTTTACTTCTATTCCTCCAAATCCTCTTCTATCTCTCCATGACTTGTATCACTACATATGCCCCTACCTATACCTCTGCCTTCTCCTGTTTTTCTACCTCTCCCTCTGTATCCTTTTCTCTCCCTATTTCTTCTTCCACCTCTATCTCTACTTCTACTTCCTCTTCCTTTTCTATCTCTTCTTCCATCTCTTTCTCTATTTCTTACTCTTCATTCTATTTCATCTCTTCCTGTACCACTACCACTATCTCGAACTCTACCTCTACCTTTACCTCCATCCTTTCCTCTATCTCAATTTCTTATATCTTTACCTTTACCTCCACCTCTATAGTGGCCTCTCGTACCCTACTTCTATCTCTCCTGTCAATACACCTTCCTGTGTCTCTACATTTAACTCTAACCCTTCCTCTGTCTCGACTTTTTCGCCTCTACCACTAACCTCACATCGTTTTCTCTAATTTCATCTCTACCCTATTCCTCATATTCTCCTCTGTCTCTATCTTTACCATCGGTACCTTTACAACTATCGCTGCCTCTACTTCCACACCCTCCATTATCTCAATCTGCGCCTCAGCCACCTTCGTGGCCTCCGCCGTCTGCGAACAATGGCGGCGCGGGATGCGAATTATTCTGTCAACGGCAACGCGCGCCCTCTCGTCTCGCTCGCTGCCTCCCCCTCCTCCACCTCCTCCACCTCCTCCCCCTCCTCGACTTAGTATGTGGCCTCGCCGCGCCCCTCTTTCGGGGGAAGGACGGGAGTCAAGAAACTTTTCAGTTAAGTGCTTTTCCATTTCTGATTCACATATTGCGCCACAATTACCTCACGTAAAAGTATTAACTTTATTTGTTTTAGAGCTGGGAAATGTATCGCCTCATTTCGATAATTAAGCAATTAAAAGTGCAAATTTGCTGGAACGGTATGTCTCAAAACATTGTAACGATACAATACGAGATAATATCCATGACAAGCTGAAATATGTATGATCCGATATGAATACGACAAATATTGAAGTAGGGTCTTTGTGTTTAATTAGTTTATCATTCTTTTCCATTTTGTAGAAATGTTACAACAGAAAAGTATAGCATGTACACTTTACAAAAAGGGCCTACATAAATATTAATACACATTTATACGTAAGTAGGCCTATACAAGAGAATATAAGCGTTGGATAGAAACTCCTGCAAAATATTGTTTCATGTCAACCAGTACTTACCGTCGAAGGCTAATTAAATGAGAAGATACACAAGTTCTGAAACAATACATGATTCACTGTGTTACACTCAGAGTTAAGTATATTTCTGAAAATTAAATGAAATGTTTTACTTAACCCAGATCTGAAAATGTTTATTGTAGTGGACTATAGTAGAAAATCCTCTTATTTTAAAAACGTAATGCATCACATATAATTATAATCACTGAAAGGTTTTTTGTGAAAGAACATACCTTTCAAAATATTTCTGGATATTGCGCTAATTTACACCCATTAATCTTTGAATTTAAAAACACTAAAGCGTAAAAACCGCTCTTTTCGCTTGGATAACTAATATCTCACACTCGCGCACCCTTGCTCAAAACCTCCAAGGTCTTGACACTGCCGAACGGCGTAATGAACAAATGACAGTAGATAAGCATTCATTCTATTTTCTTGACGAGTTGATAATACCTTTTTTGTTTATGTTGTAAAACTGGTAAATAATAGCAGGTATTAACACATCTAAGCTCCATTACCTTAAATGCAAAGCAAAAATCATGAAATTTATAAGAGTAGAAATGTAACATTCTTTCTAAAGGAATATTGTTATTGTTTTAAATAAAAAGATTTGAGATTTAATTAGTTAATAGTGTCATCTGCAAAGAAGTCCCACCGATTAAATGTTTACCCTATGCAGTGAATGTGATAATATTTGCATAATTGTAGTAATTTGTACGAACGCCGATTGCGTCCGTGGTGCATTTTCACGAGGAGAGCATTTTATGCGGAGCGTCCTTTTTTACTTACTCGAATGTTCCATTTATAAACCCGTTAACATACCACAAAATGTACACTTCGGGCCATACACACAGGTTTAATGAATTTTTGCTGTTTTATAAAACCAAACGAAATTCTACTTTTACGCTTTAAATACGGAAGCGAAAAATAATATAGTTTAAAATAATGCATTATTGAGTATCTAAACTTTTTCGGAAAGACAGTAAAATTGTTCTCTGTGAACAGTAATTGTTATTAATAATGAAATTTTAGATAATTGAGGTTGTTATGTGATTATTAAGTGAAATGTGTTTATCATTTTCTTCTCCCCAATGAGCATTAATGCAAAACTAGTCAAAATGCGATAACATTGTAAGAACAACAATGTAGAAGTAACGAAAGGCAAAAAGCTGTACAGGAAAAGCTAATATGCCGGAAACTCATTAAAGTTTTACAGGCAAAACGTTTATCAAACAGGAACATTCTTCCACTTTATTACCTATTGAATAGAGGGAAACAGTTGAGGTGCCTCGGGGTGTTTGTTTAAAAAATTACGCACTTGTCTTTCAACGAACCTACTAAAAAAATGATTAATAATTAGGAAATCATGACCGCAGCTATTCTAATGATACTTTCCGTGCTTTAGCGCGTTATTAAGGTGTCGTATTAAGGGTTTAGGACACCTTATTAATTTTAACGCGGCCGCGAGCTGTGCTGCGATAGCGGTCGAAGCGGCAGTAAATGTGAGAGGCGGTTTAAATAAAACGCCGTTTATATTACCCGCCCGGGCGAGTGAGTAGGCGGGTGGGAGATGGGGTGAGGGGATGGTTGAGCGGACGAGGGAACGGGTGAGCGAGCGGGAGAGCGGGCAGGTGAGTGAGTGAGTTGTTAGGTGGGAGGGTGAATGAGCAGGCCAGTGAGCGAACGTGATGTTGGGTGAACGAGCGGGTGAGCGGGCGGGTGAGCAGGCGGGTGAGCGGGCGGGTGAGCGGGCAGGTG